CTGGTTTGGTTCCTGGGGGTGGACCCACACACTGCTCATCAAGCCACATAGAAGAACTAGAATGACTTGCAACTAGGATATACAACTATGCGCTGGGGCTTTGGGGAGAAAAAAAGAAGACAGCGGTGCCACAGAATATGGAACCAAATGGCCATAAAAAGAATAAAATTAAACTATAATTTTGGATGGTTTGAATAGTATTAATTGGTAAAAGTACAGATATATGTGAAGACCTCTTATAATTCTCAAGTTTTAAGTCAATAAAGAACTTTTTTATGGCAAATAAAGAGCAGAGGTTCCTAATGACTTAGAATAAATAGAGAAAAATATCAAGATGTGCTTATGCTCGGGCAGAAAGAATTGGATTACATTACAAGAAGAATCGTTCTAAAAGTGGAAGTATCACTGACCAAGTTTTCAAAGCTTGAATTCATTTTTAAAGATTTCTTTATTTTACAATAATTTGTGATTTACAGAAAAGTTGCACGAATGTACAGAGTTCGCTTCACCCAGCTTGCCCTACTGTTAACATAACCATGGTACATTTGTCAACACTAGGAATATAATATTAACTAAACCACGGTTTAATTCAGATTTCACTAGTTTTCCCACTGTTGCCCTTTTTCTGTTTCAATATCAAATCCAGGATACCATATTGCATTAATTCGTAATCTCTCTTTCATCTCCCCTGCTATGTTTCTCAGTCTTTCCTTTCATGATCTTGAAAGTTTTGAAGAGTACTGGCGAGGCATTTTGTAGTATGACCCTCAATTTCTCTTTGTCTTGTGTTCTTCTCAAGATTAGAGTGGAGCTATGGGTTTTGGGGAAGAATATCACAGAAGTGAGGTGTCCTCATCACATACTGGGGCACATGGTGTCAACATGACTTGGAGATGTTAACCTTGACCTCTCGATAAAGGTGGTGTCTACCATGTTTCTCCATGGAAAAGTTACCTTTCCCCCATTTCCATGCTCTCTGAGTCACAATGTCAGGCCACACTCAAGGGGAGAGGAATTACGCTTCACCTCCTGGGAGGTGGGTAAGATATCTACATATAATATTTGAAATTTTTCTGAAGGAAGATTTCTCCCTTCCCTGTCATTTATCCATCTATTCAATCATCTGTTTATATCAGTGTGGATTCATTGATATTTATTTTATTCATTAGATTATGATCTAATACAATCATTATTTTGTTGCTCAAAGTGTTTCAGCTTTGGTTACTGGGAACTCTTTCTGACTGGCTCCTGTGTCCTTTTGACATGCCCCAATAAATTTTTTTCCACTTTTTCACTTTCTGGCACTACAAGAGACTTCAGGTTCAGTTTGTATTTTTACTGCCCTACCTCTAGAATCAACCATTTTTCCTGAGGGCCCTGGTTCCTTTTTTTTTTGGAGAATGGTTATTTAGAAACTAAAATCTGGACATGAGGTATGCTCATTGCTACTGTGTATAACTACTTCTAGGACCTTTCAGTAGGTAGAGCTAATAAATGTTATGTACGCATGCACACATATCTATATTTATTTTTGTATCTGTATGTATATTAAGAGAAAAAATGAGTTCATATTGATATCTCTGTCTCTAATCTAGCACTACAAGGTTAATTTTAGCTATCGCTTTCACTTATTTGTAACTTCTTTCTCTGACAATGAGAAACCTAGCTTCTGTTATCAACAATTTTATTAGCTTATGTGTATACACTCAAAGTAGTCACATAATTACTAACCTATACATCTGTGATTTAAAAAAATGTATCAAATAGAGTACAATATCTTCGTACAGTTATTTTGCTCTTTGGCATTATTCTTTTTAGTCTTTGTCCTGTTAAGACAGTGTTTCTCACAGGTACTTAGGCTAGATCCTTTTCCTCCATGGCCTTCAAGGAGGTTATGCCTTACAATTGTAATTTGGTTAGATCATTTGTCACAGTCTCTACTCCATCTTGGGAAATTCCAATGTTCTATTTGTTTTCTTATTTTTATTTTGCAGACTACATAGCTCACTCTTTGTGTTTTATAGCTCTATGGGTTTTGATGGGTCTATGGGCACAGTTATTTATCTAATAATGCAGTACCATACAGAACAGTTCCATCACCCCCAAAATTTCCTCACATTATCACTTTGTTCTCAGCCCTCCTGTATGTCTAAACTGTGACAACTACTGATCTCTTTCCTATCTCTATGTTGTGCTTCATCTAGAATTTCATACATGTGGATTCATATAATGTTCAGTCATTTGGGTCTGCCTTCTTTCACTTAGCAAAATGCATTTAAGATTCATTCATACTATTGCATGAATCAGTAATTCTTTCTTTTTTATACTTGAGTAGTATTCCATTGCATAGATATACTATAGTTTACTCATTTATTCACCAATTGAATAACATTTTGGTTATTTTGACATTTTAGCAGTTGTAGATAAAATTGCTATAAATATTCACATATATGTTTTTGTGTAAAAATAAGTTTTAAATTCACTTGGGTAAATACCCAGAAGTGGGATTGCTGGGCTGTAAGGTAAGCACGTTTAACTCTGTAGGAAACCAACGCAAAGTTTCCCCAAGTGGCAGTGCCATTTTGAATTCCCATCAGCAATGAATGAGAATCCGTTTGGTTCTACATGCTCACCAGCATTTGATATTGTTAGATTTTAAAGGTTGTTATCCGTTTTAATAGATTCTGGTGCTGTCTCATTGTGGCTTTAGTTAGCGTCTCCCTAATGACCAACAATGTTGGGCATCTTCCCATATACTTACTGGCCGTCTATGCATCTTCTTTGATGAAGTTCAGATCTTTTATCCATTTTTAACCTGGTTATCCATTTTCTCTTTGGTGAGTTTTAAGAATTCTTGATATATTCTGGATGTTAATCCTTTATCAGACATTTGATTTACAAGTCTGAAGCTTATATTTTCATTCTTTTAACAGTGTCTTTCACAAAGCCATTTTAAAAATTTTTATTTTATTTTTCGCTTTTGATACACTCAGTGTAATGCGAAGGGCTGTGATCACCTAATTCTTTCAGTTACAACAGAGCACGTACACTGAAGCAAGTAAAAAATTTCCAAATTCCAATGTGCAGCACAGCTTAGAGGTTTAGACCTTGTATATTTTCTTATCCATAAATTCTCATAAACAGGTAGTTCTAATAAAATTTCATTTTAAGTCAGAGGTGTAGGATTTGACTTTTTTTTCTCATTAAAATTTTAAACTTATGCTCCATTTATCATTTTAAGTCAGAGGTGTAGGATTTGACTTTTTTCTCATTAAAATTTTAAAGTTATGCTCCGTTGCTATGCTCCGAGATCAGCCTACAAAATTCATTAGGTAGCTGAATTACAGTGTTATATCAACAGTCCTCTGGAAAAGAGTTGTCAAATATGGCGGCTACGAGCCACATGGGACTGTCAAGTACTTGAAATGTGACTACTGTGACTAAGGAAATAACTTTCAATTTTAAATAAATTTAAAAACTGACACTTGATTTAGTTATAGGAAAACTTTTAAGTATGTGTGGGACAACTTGACTTTGTAAACCTACTTTTTTCAACTTTAAATTTTATGAAATCTAAATGCAGATTAAGTATATCCAATAAAAAATTTAGCATCCGAATTGAGATGTGCTGTAAGAACACACTGGATTTCAGACTTACTATGAAAACAAAGGATGTGAAATGTCTCATTAATATTTTTATATTGATCACATGTTAAAATGACCGTATTTTGAATATATAGGGCTAAATAAAACATACTACTGAAACCTATTTTACTGCTGCTTTTTTACTTTTTAAATGTGACCACAAGAAAAATTTAAATTACATGTTTGGCTCAGATTATATTTTAATTAGATAGCACTGCTTTAGAACCATGTACCATATTCTGTGTCAAAAGGCAATCAGTGTTCTGAAATGACAAGCTAATAACCTATCCACTACCACCTCCAACCTCCACTGCATAATCAGGCACAGCTCAGTCTCCTGCCTTTGGGGAGATGGATCAAGTTTCACTAAGTTCCAAGTCACTTGTGATAGATTTCATATCCTCAGACAGGGACTCCAGCAGGGGAAGGGCTGGGAGAATGGAGAGTAAGGCTTGAGATGGGTATTATAGGTCTGGCACTGCCTGATGCTGATAAGGAACAGCATCTCCTGAGGCCCTAAATATGCCATAAATTTTGTGAACACTTCTGATTACTGAAGGGCACCAGTTCATGGCTTACTTTCTTCTGAGGAAAAATATTGGGCTGTGTCCTGTCCTCCCCACTGCTGAGAGTTAGCACTTACTGCTTGGTACTTGTTAACTCAAAAACAAAGCACAGTATCCCAGCCTTCCACTTCTCTCCTTACTTTTCAGCAATGTGAAATTAATATCCAGAGGTTCCCGTACTGAACAAAAGTGGTTCCCTGCTTTTCTTCCTCTTTTTATTTAGCTTATTAAAGAAATTGTGTGTACACAAATATATACACACATAGGTATATGTGTAAATACACACACACACATATGAATGATTTAGTGGTATACGTATTACCTTGCCAAAACTAAAACCAGTTTCTGAAAAGATAAGTAACATAGAAAGAAAATAACCTGGCCTTGAAATTATGTTACACATTCTATTCTTAAAAAAATTTCAGGAAATTCTAATACTTTAGCATAAAATTTTCCATGTCCAATCTTTATGAAATTGTTTTTCTAGAAAACTAAAGAATAGTGTAGAAATCTTACAGATATTAAGAATAACATTTATAAAAAATATAACTTAACATAGGCATATTATTCTACCATGATAAATAATTATATTAAGCTTTAACTTTGATGTAATGTTAAATCTAAATTTACAGAACATCTCTTCATATAAGATAACCTTCTTAAACTGTTCTATACTTTGGAGGAGTTTTAGCTTATAATTTTCCAAAACAATCCAAGTTAATTGTAAGTTGTAACTGAACACATTTCTCTCACAATCAAGCTAGTTTGGAAAAGTAAATATATACTTACAATATAGAGAACATATCATGGGAAGCACATAGACAGTTGTTAAGCTATTCCACTGTATTATAAAATTCTTGAATTATCACGTTCTAAACCTGTTGGGAAAGAGAGAGAGAAAAAAGTATGTTATTAAACGTACTGCTATATATGTAGCTAAATAACCAAAAAAAAAAAAAAGCTAAAAGAAATCACACTTCTTACAAGCTTAGATCTTTCTGTATGTATTATTGCGTCATTTGCTTATATTAATTTATGATTTCTTTTAATTTTTAGGAAAATGTTATGGCATTACTTTTCATTTCAACATACAATAAGAGAAAATTATTAAAAAGAATGAATACTGTAATTGAAACTCTAAGGAAATGGGTATGATATCTTTTTAACTAAATATATTTCATGATCTCTATTTTTTATATTTTCCACTTACAGAATAAATTGTGTCCATAGCACAAAAAATACAAGAAAAAGTTACTACATCATCTAGATATAATTATCTGGATGCTTAATAAAATAAAGATCAAATAATTAGATCATTTGTCTAAACGTCCTTAATTTTCACGTTGATGTGTGCCAGCTGCTGTGATCTAAACATGTGTGCTCACCCTCCCCTACCCCAAAATTCTTAGGTTGAAATCCTAATGCTCAAGACATGGTATTGGGAGGTGGGGCCTTTGAGAGGTGATTAGGTCATGAGGGCGGAGCCCCCATAAATGAGATTAGTACCTTTATAAAGGAGGGCTCAGAGAGCTCCCTTGCCCTTTGAGGACACAGTGAAAAGATGGCTGTCTATGAACAGGGAAATCCTCACCAAAAACCCAGTCTGCTGGCGTCACAATCCTGGACTTCCTGCCTCCAGAACTGTGAGAAATAAATTTCTGTTGTTTATAAGCCACCCAGTCTGTGGTATTTTGTTACAGCAGCCCAAACGGACAACGACAACTGCCCACATACCTGACTGGGTATAAATGGAGGCAACAGCTTTCAAACCTTATTGAACTACTTATTCTACAAAGAATGAAGATTAGATTTAATACAAAGTGGGAAACTGACCTACTGACATTTATTACCCCAATCAAGAGCAAATAGCTTCAAACTATGGAATAAGGGTGGATTCAGTTTTCTCTTTAACATAGTGCCTCCCCAAAGTGCATTTTATGAATTTACTCCTTGTCAAAAATGTCTTTTTGCTGTAGAACACATCCATACTTAGATGTTACTAAAAGTGGTGTTTAAGTATCCTGTACTCAGTACACACACACACAAGCACCATGTCTCTTGTTCCCATTTTATGTCCCCCAAACACCTAACTTTTTTTTCTTTCTTCAATCCACAGATTTCAATGCAAATTCCATCTGATTTCTTTCTGGATTTACACATAGGCTTAGCTTATGCTTAATAGAAAAGAATTTATTTTTCCTCTAATTTAGTAATTTTTCCCTTTAGTTACACTTCAATATTGGATTCAAACACACTTAAGATGATCAAAATATAGAGAAGAGATATAGAATTTCTGTCTTGTCTTTAAAATCAAGTATTACCTAATTATTCCTTTCTCAAAGGTATAAGACATAGTAAATGTTTATATTTTGTAACAGCTGTTTAATGTTGTTAAAGTGTATGATTGTCATTTAACCATCACAGCAATACTGTAAGGGTTTTATTATCCTCATTTTATAGTGTTTCGATAATTTAAAAAATTCATCCATATTAAGAAGCTCGAAGGTATTGTAGTTGGAGATCAAATCCAGCTCTAACTTCAAAGTGTCTACTCAAAAGGGTTAACCTTAAACAACTAGACAGCCAGTTATTCCTCCGGCAAAAATGGGTTTATTTGGGTCAGCAAAGAATTGCAATTTGGGATCTGCAACCATGCTGAGCCATATGCAAGTCCTCCAGCAGCAAGGGAGGAGAAACTCTTTTATAGAGGAGAAGAGGAAGTTGGAAGGGCTATTGTAAACAGAGAGCTCATTGCAGGAATTGAGAGTTCAATATGTAGTGTCTTTTCATTGGCTGAGTTGTGACAGTCTCATTGGCTAAACTTCTTGCTGGTCAAGAAGACAAAATCTTTCTCTTTACTTTTGGACTCTGCTATTGACATAGGGCATGAGAGCTCCCCCTTTTGGCCTCCTGACTCCAATTTAATGAGATTTCTTTTTATTAATTGACAAAAATGTCTTTACTTGCACATGGCTCCCTGGACACTGTTTATGAGATAGTCCTGCTTAGATATCAACTTTCAATACTATTTAAGTTCTCAATTTGAAAAAGTTTAATGAAATATTTTGTAAGGTTGATCAAGTTTTTCTGTTGAAACCGTATATATCTTGTCCTTAGGGTTGTTAAATGAGTAAAACCACAAACACAATTATTGCAAATAATATATGTAATGCATTGGTTATAAATATTGACATAAAGGATCGATACATTTAACAAATTAAGAAAAATAGAAAAGGGTCATTTATGCTTGTCTCAACTGGTTCCAGGCTGTTATAATATTTGAACATCTGTGAATTGTTTTTATGATTTTCTGTCTCATGTCAAATGCCATTCCTTCTCTGTTTTTTACTATACAACATCAGATTTGATGCTTTCAAAATGATCTTTGCTGGAAAGTCAGAAAAATCAAACATTTAAAATTCTATCTAGAGTGAGAACAAATAATGAGGGCCAGCAAGTGGCCTGAGTTCTATTGTCTATTTGGTGACTCAGATTTGTTTGTATGTGTGTGTGTGTGTGTGTGAGTTCATGTGTACTCCCCAAATCACGGCTATGATTTAAAGGCTCAGCATGCTGAATAAATAGCACTCAAGTTATGCCATCACTCTTATATTGTTATTATTTTTGCTGATAAAATTTTTTCTGAGGATAATTATTGTCTCTATCCTCTTTGTATGACATATAGGGAAACGATCATTCTCTTCCATTCCCTACATTTGTATCTAACCCAGTCAAATGATGTTATACGTTTTTCTCTTTTTCTTTCCTACATACTTGTCTTTCCTTCCAGAGCAGTCAAAGTATCCACTTGACATGGGGTAGAAGTGGGGTCAAGACACTCAGTTTCTGTCATTTAAAGCATTATTTTGATGTATGGTTTAAAGTCAGTCAGTCTTGAGGAAGAAAGCGTTTCTAGATTCCTTCAGTTCCAGGTGGATGAGTCTATTATTTGGATGTTTTGTCAAGATCCACAGGCTTAGTAACTTAAGGATGAGACTTAAGATGATTCACTGTTTTTTACTTTTCACCTTGATATTTGTCAGCAAGTATAAATGACTAGGTTTGCATGAGTTTCATGTAAAGGAGTTTCAAATCCTGTAGAAAGAAAGCCTTCTTCATCTATTCTGGGGAGAAATATCAGAAGAGGTGGAGAGAAAGAAGACAACGGTAGGGGAGGAATGTTTCTGCGGCAACTCTGGTTTTCTCCTCCCAGCTTCTTGAGGCCAAACATTTAGGGAGAATAGCTTTAGAAATTTCTAGTTAAGTTGAGGGAATTCTCAGGGCTTTTGCCTGTGATTTTGGGAAGAGATTACTGCGCTGAGTAATCTCATACTAATACAGGGTGTCCAGTAATATCATGAGGGTCCCATGACACAAATAGGCCCTGTTTGTAATCCCAAGTCTCCCTTGGTTATTGTGCGGCATGGATAAGGAGTTGAGAAAAACTGGGCCTGCTGAGAGCAAAAAGGCTCAGCCACAGAGGTTTGTGAGGCTTTCAGCTTTAACCAGGTGTCAGAAGAGGGAAGTAGTAATGTATGTAACAGTGGAGACTGATGGGCCTGAACTGCCAAGATCCAGGCAGATTGAATTAGCAAGGCCCTTAGACAGAGAAAGAGCTGAGAATTGACTGAGAAATGTCAGCAGCAGAAGAGCCCACAACAAAGAGACTCCTCATGAAGGAGCTCAGGTGTGAGCTAAAGATAAGAACTCAGTCTTATCTTCAGGATCAAGCATTGTAAGGAAAGGGGACACTAGATGTAAAGGCCCAAGACAGGAACAAGTCTGGCGTGTTCAAGGAGGAGAGAAAAGCTCAGAGTGCTTGCATTGTGGTGACACAGGGCACAGTGGCAGTGGTGGGACGGGGAGTGGGGTAGACAGGCAGGCAGCAGCCAGGTGATGTTGGGCCACATAGGCCATCATAAGGAATTTAGACTTTATTCATGATACACTGGAGAAAGGAAGTTTTTGTCCAGGGAACTGATTAAAATTTTGAAGGATCATTTCAAATGTTCTGTGGATGGTAGAGGCAAGCCTGGAAGTGGTAGCCAGCCTAAGGCCTATTGCAGTAGCTGAGTTGAGAGAAGATGGTGAGTGTAAGTTTGGTGACAGTGACAATGGAGAGAAGTGTTTAGATTTTGGATATCTTTGAAAAAAATATAAAATCATATTCATTAATTTCACCTTTTCACAAACATACATGCATTTTTGAGCCATCTTTATAGATTATTATTTTTTTTAGCAAAGGGTCAATTTGAAAAATAAAAATTACGTAGATGCTTATGTAGGATTCTTCAGTAGATTTGGGTAAAATTCACCAAAGGGGGCAAATATGGAGACATATTTGTTTTATACAATTGTTTGTAATTAGTGTTGAACCCATCAATTAAAGGTAGTATAAGTGATTAAGAAAAATGCTATATAATTCTTTTAAATGAAAGAATAGGGAAATAGCCAAATGGAGCATTACTTATAAAGAAGAAAACTTTAGAAGACTCTGAATGACGTGGCTAGAAATATCTCAGATACATTCAAAATTGAATTCCATTAATAAGAGTAAGTTCCTTAACTCAATTCACCAGATGTGATTAAAAGACATTGAATTTTGAACAAATAAAGACAATTACCTTGTGCAGTTTATAATGATAAATGAGATTTGCTGCCAGAAGGGTTCATTGAGCTGATTCCTGTGGCTGTAGTTTAAACAGAATTTTATGACTTCAGAATTACTAGACTGGGTCCTTAAGCCTTAAACCTTCTTTAATTCAACATACATTTTACTAAATGCCTTCTGTATAACAGCTGCCAGGTGCTATGGCTAAAAGGGTGACTAAAACACTCTTCTGCCCTTGAAGGGTTCATAGATGAGAGGATGAGCGAA